TCGCATGCTGGCCAAGACTATGCTCGGGATATCTTTCCTATTTCGAATCTTATGCCTGGAAGGTTTGGGATCATTATTTTCTGGGTTAGGGACAAAGTCACCATTCTCCTGGTCAGCACTCGGATCAGCCATGGGGAAGTCATTAAACTCTGAATCAGCTTGACTCTAATCATCGGCCTTTTTTACCTCACCCTGGGCCTTCTCAAGTCTCTTTTCCTCGGCAACTCTTCTCCTCTTCTGTCTCTCTGTGGCAGCCTCCTGTCTCTTGGACTCCGGAATATCTTGGCTAGAAATCATGAGAGCCCCTATACTGCCAGTCTTCTCTCTCTGTGCTTTGACAAATGCCAGTTCGATCACAGGAATCTTCAGTTCACGCTTGCAAATACAGGAGATGTGGGCCTCGGATTTACAGTCACGATCGCATCCAAACTCAGGACAGAGAACAATTGGGCACTTGCAAGTAATTATGTCAAATAACTGGTCCAGTTGCTTGGCAAAGCTGTCCTTAACTGCAAGTTTTCCTCTCCCAAGAGAGATATCTCTTGCCTTTTCCCAACTGGCTAGCAGTCTCTCACTAATCTTCTTCTGACTTGTTATGACTGGAGGCTTGAACTGAGCGTTAGCCAGAGTGTACTGTGCCAAGACAGCTTTGGTCATATCACTGGCAATGTCTTTGTTTGTGTAAGTTCTTTGGTTCTTTTTACTGATTTGCCTGATTAAAACACCGTATCTCAAAGCATCTCTCAATGTAGGCAACTCCGACTTCAGGAGCTCTCTCCCAGACCCAAGATAGTGACTGAGATGGCTGGATTTTTGGTTCCTCGTCCTGACACAAGCAGCCATCGCAAATATTATCAACTTATAAATGCATCAGAATCTGAAACAGAAAAAAATATTGTTAGTTGGGTTGTTAAAGAATGAAGTCAGAAAGCAATGTTCACTATTTAATTGTAATGCACTAATGCAGCTGTACGTTAGATTTTCGATAAATTTCACCTACCTAAAAGGTTGCAAAATATTGAAACTGAAATTATTTTCTGTTTATATACACTAAAATCTACCAAAAAAGTGATGGGCCATTAGTTTTAGCTGATCTTCCCTCCTATGACACACCCTAACGCAGCAGTGTCACGTAAGATGGGAATTGCAGAGCCCAAACCCTTCAATGCTTCCTCTGGGTGGTTGCACAGGTTTAAGAAGAGGAACAAGATCACCAACACCAACATTGTTGGTAAGAAGCGAGTGCTGACCGTGTTGCGGCTAGGGATTTTCCTCCGTTTTAACGTGAGATTATGGAGGAAGGACAGTACACAGACGACCAGGTGTTCAACATGGACGAATCCGGTCTGTTTTGGAAAAAGCTACCTTCCAAGACCTTCATTGTCAAGTCTGCCAGCAAGTATCGGGGCCGGAAGTTGCAGAAGGAGCGCATCACCGTCCTCTTTACCACCAATGCCTCCGGTTCCTGTAAACTCAAGTTATCGGTGATCCACACAGCTCACACGCCTACAAGAACATGGACATGACCAAGCTAAATGTCCACCGGCTGACCGCACGTAAGGCGTGGATGTTCTCTACTCTGTCCGTGTCTTGGTTTGATGATTGTTTCGTTCCCGACGTGAAGAAATTCTGTGAGCAACAGAATGTTCCATTCAAGATTTTGTTTCTGCTTGACAACCCACCAGGACACTCGCCCCTACTGTTGGATCGTCACCCCAAAGTAAAAGTGGTCTATCTTCCTCCCAACACTACGTCATTAATCCAGCCCATGGACCAAGAATTAATCTGCAATGTGAAAGCTGCATTCTCTGCAAAGAAGTTTAAGCTCCTGAATGACTATACCAACACCAAGGATGAGTTGCGTAACCTGGGTGACACCGATAGCAAGAGCGACGAGGACGAGGAACAACAGTTGGACTTCTTGGTGGAGGCATGGGATCAGCTGTCTGTAGCAACGGTTCGTAACTCATGGAGACATGTGTTGCAAGGTATCGCAGGTGGGAGGTAGAGTCAACCTGTGACTGGTGAGGTTCAAACTGTTGCAGTAGCAGTGGACCCTGCCAGAGAAGCTGCGCAGAGTGTTACAGCTGCAGGCTTCTCCGAGACCACCAACGATGACATATGGAGGTGATAAGGGATCTTGATGTGACTGCCGACGAAATGTTAGAAGACGATCACGTCAGTGAAGAGACAGGCGGTGCGTCATCCCGAGAAGAACACAAGTTATTGCATGGTAATGTAAGGGGTGCCATCAAGTGTGTAGAGAAACTGAAGCTCCTCCTTTCCGACGACCCTGACGATAACCGGTATGAAGTCTTCACTACCCAGCTGTTGCAGACTATGGAGCCCTACATCAAGGTGTATCACGACAACATCAACACTAGCCGTCAACAAAGCATTACCGAGTTCTTCGCCCGCAACCCACCACAGCCAGCCCAAGCCTGTGATAGTGACAGAGACAGTGATGGTGACTTTGAGGGATTTGTCAGGGAGGCCCTGACAAGTGTGGATGACAGTGATGGTGACTCACCTGAGGGCCAGTAGTCTGCCCTCTGCCTCGGAACCAGCCTCCATTCACGTACGCCGACCCATCTCTTCTACTAACGTAAGTGTTAAACCTAACCTTGATTTTTCCTAACATAACCTAACCTTATACGTAAGTGTTAAACCTTGATTTTTCCTAACATAACCTAACCTTAGGTTTGTGTTAAACCTTGATTTTTTAAAACATAACCAACCTTACGTAAGTGTTAAACCTTGATTTTTTCTAACCTAACCTACCATGACGTAAGTGTTAAACCTTGATTTTTCTTTTACCTGGTACAGTATATTATTCTCTTATTGATATTTCTCTTCTATATTATGTGTGTGTGCATACCATCATAAAGTTAAGATGTTATTTTTACTAAAACGTACGTATTGTGTCAGGAAAAAGTGGAGTTTGGGGGTCGGCCCAGTCTCTATTTCAATTAATCCCCTATGTTCTGTTGTTCAGTTTACACGTTTCCTACTTTACGCAGGCCTCCGTGGGCTCAATTGACCGCGTAAAGCGGGGTTGCACTGTTGTTCATCGGTGTCATAAATGTATTAATTCTTGGGTACATCCAGGGTGTCATCCACGAATAATAGAGTTTCGCAAATTTTTAGGGCATGCTGTACTTGATAGTACAGGTTGACAACCCTTTATCCAAAATTCCGAAAACCGAAAAGCTCTGTAAACCGATTTTTTTTTTTGGAGCAATTTTTTTTTTTTTTTTTAAGCCCACCAGGGCACAGGTCACTGACCCACATCGGGGCCTGGGGGGTGAAAATGTAATAGTAATAATAATAATAATAATAATAATATTTATAATGATGATTGTTGCGTTTTAAATGCAGGAAAGTGGTTTTCTTCCCGTAGAACTCGGATACCTTCACACTGGTTACTCACCCAGGAGATTATGGTGTATCACTACGTAGAATTTCACTCTGCTTCCGGCATTCAATGCGTTGTGTACTTGATAAATGATGATTTAATGAATTCCATTAACTTCCAACATCCATCTAAGTTATTGGTTTTACTTTGTCATAACCAATCAGTCATTACCCTTGGTAATAATAATAATAGAGGGATCACAGATACGGGCAGATGATTGCACTTACGTTTATTTGGCACAATTCCATACACTGGACTTATAATTTGCATGGATAGGTCAGTCACTCACATTCGCGCCACAGTACCGTAAGTTATAAGGGAGAGTTTGTCAACCTGGAGAATTAATCGTTTAGATCTATTAGGCCGGCCTGGAGTGCTCTTGTAGCAACCAGGCCCTCACCATTGATCACTTCCTTTACAGGATGTGTTAACTTGTCGCTGGACTTAACAAAAATCTCGGGGATTTGCACACACAGACTCGCAGCACTGGTAGAACTGTATGGCCCCTGTTCTTAAGTCCGCGGAGCAGGAGGTCTTCTCTAACCCATGGTCTAAAGCCCACTGGCTAAATTGGTTTTTTGAGGCGTGAAGTGATGAACAGTACACACTGTCTCACTGACCTGCCCCCCTATCCGCTGGCTAACATACCACTAATTGAAAACATGTCCCAGTTATGGCTGGCCTGTTACCTTATCTCTACCATAAACAAACATTTGGGATGGGTTGTGCGGGAGGCCCAACGCAACCCATGACAATGATAATACAGTAATAATAATTATTCAGAGTAAATAAAAATTTTAATAAAAAATACACAAAAATAAAATAAGCATGATGATGATAATAATAATAATAATAATAATAATAATAATAATAATAATAATAATACTGTAATAATAAAATAATAATAATAATAAAGAAATACAAGAATGAAAAAAAGATCAAAAGTGAGAAACACGACCTAGACCTATGAATTATTATTATTATAATTATTATTATTATTACATTTTAGCCCCCAGGCCCCAATGTGGGTCAGTGACCTGTGCCCGGGTGGGCTGATCCCTGTAAAAAAAAAAAAAAATAATAATAATAATAATAATATCTGAAATACGAAAAATTCCAAAAACCGAAATGCATCTGGTCCCAAGGATTTCGGATAAGGGATTGTCAACCTGTGGTATAATGTCATTAACAACGGTCTCATTTGTTTATACTGTTCTAGCATTTTTTTTCACGACATGCCACTGGTACAAGGTAGTACAGTACTGTACAGGTATTATTATGTTTAAAATATTTTTATAACATTTGGCTTCTTGTTATAACTGCAGTATTATTGTTAATGATAAGATTATCATTGTTTAATTATTATTGTATTTGTAGTACACTACAGTATAGTTCTGTACTGTATTCCTGTACAGTACTACAGTACTTTTTTTTTTCAAATTGTAATATTCTTACAGTATAATATTTATAATCTACATATTAGAGAGGTTAGGATATTCAATAAATGATAATCATTACTTTTGGAGTACATTACAGTATTTGTTAAAGATGTATTTATGTGTTTCTATGATTTTATCTTCACTAGGCAGAACAACATCCTGTAAAGGAAGGACTGTGCTATAAAAACTGTGACCCACCACACGAGTTCCAAGTGGAGATCCGCAATGCTAATATTACCACAATAGAGGAAGCTCTCTCCTATGCTTGTAAAAAACACGGCAACAAAAAAGCACTTGGAACAAGACAGATATTGCAAGAATCAGAAGAACTTCAGAAGAATGGCAAAGTTTTCAAAAAGGTTAACAGTATTGTGATTACTCTTTCTGTAATTTAGTTATTAATGTATTTTATGACCAGTCATGGCCACTTATTCCTTCAAGATTTTAATCAAGTTCTCGGTTTCTAGTTCAATTTTGTATCATTAATCTTACTTTATCTATATTTCTGAGGTGATTGTAGACTGCACATTAGCCTGTCGCTCCCTGTTCACTAGTACAGTACAGTAATTTTGAAGTACTGCACATATTTATTTCTTCACAATATTAACTGGAAGTCATGAGTGATGTCATTATAATGATTTCTGTGTTTACATTAAAGGATTGACATCACATGTATGTGATCTTTAAGGTACAGTATAGCTAATCAAAGTAATAATTCTTGTTACAGTATGAACTTGGAGAATATTCCTGGCTCACATACACTGAAGTGGATAACCTGGCTCACAAGTTTGGCTGTGGCCTCCGGGCTGTTGGCCATAGACCCAAACAAAATATTGTGATATTTGCAGAGACCAGAAAAGAATGGTTAATATCTGCAATTGGATGCTTTAGACAAAGCATTCCATTGTGTACACTGTATGCCACACTTGGGGATGAAGCAGTTGTCCATGGTATTAATGAAACTGAGGTAAGCTTTTCTGCAGTGTAATTGAAGAGTTCTTTTCCAAAATGTGATGTACAATACAGTACTGTAATGCCTGATGCATGGATTGTGCTCACCAAATAACTACAGTATAAGCTTGATTGTGAATAACCAGAGATGAGTGCTCCTATGCCATCTCACAGCATGAATCATCTTCTGATAATGGTAAATAACTAGCAGGAATAGTTCAACATGTTAAATAAAAGGGTGAATATCACATATAGTTCAGGGTATTTGGAAATTACATTTTCAAAAGTACAGAAGTATGTTGTTATAATCCAGACTGTTTATGCTGTTACCCTAAAGTGAGATTGTCATTGAATTCTTGGTTATGTAGGCAGAAGTTTGCTAGGTTACATAGATTTAATACATATACAGTGGTCCCTCGGTTAACGAAAACAATTCGTTCCACAGAGTTGTTCGTTAACCGAAAAGTTCGTTAACCAAATCCATTATTTCAATTGGATATTGGGTAATTGGTTCCAGCTCACAGAAAAGTACATACAAAGTATAAAAAAATGCAGTAAAGTACACTTACTTTGAGGTGTGTATGTAGAAGGTTGCTGGTTGATGATGATGATGGGAATTAGAAGTAGGGGGTGAAGCAGGAGAAGGGAGAAGAGAAGGAAGTAGGGATGGAGGAGAAATCGCCTTTCTTTGGACCCATGCTTGATGCAGTAATTTCACCAATAAAATTTTAAGTTCACTAGGTGTAATTCAAGATTATTTTATTTAAATCAACACTGCATTGCGCTATATACTGTATTATCAATATGTTAACTAAATTTCAGAATGACCAATAATTTTAATGTAAAAATACTCTGTATTCAAGAGATCGACAAACACGATTTTTCCTCCACTGTAAACAAAGTTAAACTGACGCTTTGACAGGTGAGTCAAGCGGCTGATGGGTGCACAAAAAACTAGTTCCCTGTACAGTGATCGCTCGGTTAACGAGCGCCTTGGTTAATGAGATTTCGGTTAACGAATTACCTTCCATAAGATTCTTAACTTCGGTTAACGAGCATTCCCTCGATTAACGAATTCCTTACGGGCGGCCCTCAACATGTCTTTGCTTGCACACCAGCTGTCGTATTAGTTCGCCAATACAGTAATCGGTTCTCGGGCTTAAATTCCTTACCGTTTTAGTAAATATCAAGAAGGTTGTACTATTCAATAATTTTAAAAGTTTTATATTAAATTTTTTAGTAATTTTAACAATTATTGAACATAATTGAAGTACAGGAAACTAGTTTTATGCGCGCCAAACAGCCTGTCAACACACCAAACAGACGTCAGTCTTTGTGTCTTTTCAGTGGAGGTAACATCTTGCTTGAGACTCTCTTCAACATAAATGCTTTTTTCTGTGTTTTCAGTCAAATTATTGGTCATTTTGAAATTTATTTTACATATTGATGATATATAGCACAGTGCAGTGTTAATTTAAAGAAAATATTCTTTATTTACAGCAATTAAACTGAAAATATCACATGTTGAAATTGTTTTTGAATCCAGCATGGGTCCCAAGAAATCTAGAAAAGTGATTTCAATTCAGATGAAACAGGAATTAATTAGAGAACATGAAGAAGGCATTACAACAAATGTGCTAAGCAAAGAATATGGCATGTCGACAACAATTGTGTCGACAATTCTTGCACAGAAAGACAAATTTAAGGAAGTGAAAGTGAGAGACAAATCTACCAGTGTTCAAAGGTAGATCCCTAATAGCAGAAACAGAGAGGTTACTTCTCATCTGCCTTAGGGAAAAACAGATCAAAGGTGATTCAATTTCTACTGAATTTATTTGTGAAAGAGCCATGGAAATATACGAACATTTAAAGGAAGATCAACCTGGTTCTTCAGGCACAGAATTTGAAGATTTTAGGGCCAGCAAGGGCGGTTCGAAAAATTTAAGAAAAGAAGTGACATATATAGTGTTGTTAGGCATGGTGAGGCTGCCAGTGCTGATAAGGAAGGGGCAGCAAAGTTTTTAGTGGAATTTAAAAAACTGATGGATACAGAAAATTATCTTCCACAGCAAGTGTTCAATGTAGACGAAACTGGGCTGTTCTGAAAAAAGATACCCAAAAGAACATTCATCACCAGAGATGAAGCCTCTTTACCTGGGCATAAACCCATGAAAGACTGTCTTACTCTATTGCTTGGTGCCAATGCTTCAGGGGATTTCCGACTGAAGCCTATGCTTGTCTACCACTCTGAGAACCCCAGGGTGTTCAAGCAACAAAAAATGGTAAGAGGACGGCTTGGAGTTTATTAGAAATCCAACTGTAAGGCATGGGTAACAAGACAGCTCTTTAATGAATGGGCTGTTGAGGTATTTTGCCCTTCTGTGAAGAACTACCTAACCACCAATAAACTCCCTTTAAAGGCTCTTCTCCTCATGGGTAATGCCCCTGTTCATGACCCTCAACTTGCCAGAACTCTGGAGTCTCAATTTGACTTTGTCAAAGTGTTGTTTTTGCCTCCCAACACTACATCAATCATACATCCAATGGACCAGAATGTGATCAACAACTTTAAGAAGCTGTACATGAAGAAAATGTTCAGGAGGTGTCATCAGGCAACTTCCACTGATCCTGAACTAACACTGGCACAGTTCTGGAAGACACAGTTTAACATCCTGGAGGCTGTAAAATTGATTGTGTCCTCATGGCAAGAAGTCTCCACTAGAACCCCCAACTCTTCATGGAAAGCACTGTGGGCATCAGTAGTCCATGATTTTGAGGGATTTCAGGATGAAACAGAGTTGCACCAGGAGATTGTGTCCATTGGTCAGTCATTGGGCCTTGAAGTGGAGGAGGAGGATGTGGAAGAGCTTGTGATGTCTCATGAGCAGGAACTTACTCCTGATGACTTGCAGCAACTGGATGAGATGTTAGAGGCTGACAGTGGTGAGATGGAAACGGAAATTGATGACCATATGTCAACTTCAGAGTTGAAAGATGTTGTTCACCACTGGGAGAAGTTCAGGAAACTGGCTTCAAGGCACCCAGATGTGGAAAAGTCTGAACTAGCTTTGTGTCATGTTGAGGACACAGTGGTCTCCTTCTTCAAACATCAGTTAATAATGAGGAGAAGAGATGCCCCACAGACAAAAATTGACAGTTTCTTCAGTAAAAGGCAGCAGGAACAAGATGCTAGCCCTCAGCCTTCCACTTCAAGAAGGAGAGAGGATGTTCCTGGTGGAGAATCTGTCAGTCCAGAGGTTCCTGACATTTTCATGGAAGGTGACTCACCTTCCAAGAAGCAGTAAAATGCTTCTCCTCCACCTCCACTTCCTTCTCTTCTCCCTTCTCCACCTCCCACTTCAAATTCACGTCAGCATCGTCATCCAGGAGCCTTCTACATACACACCTCAAAGTAAGTGTACTTTATACCTTTTTTGTTGACTTTAGGCAATTTTCGGTGAGCTGGAACGAATTGCCCGAAAACCCATTGAAATCATGGTTTCGGTTAACGAATTTTTCGGTTAACGAGCAACCTTCTGGAACAAATTGTGCTCGTTAACCGAGGGACCACTGTACTGCATATATTATCAATATGTTAACTAAATTTTAAAATGACTAATATTTTTAATATAAAAAATGCAAAAATATTAAAGAGCACAACTTTATTGATACAGTTGTACCCCACTTAACGCGGTCAATTGAACCCAGAGGGTCCCGCGTTAAGTGAAATCCGCGTTAAGTGAACAACAGAACATATGGGATTAATTCCAATAGAAACCGGCCTGACCCCCAAACTCCACTTTTTTAAGGCACATACCTATGTTGTAGTAAAAATAACATCTTAATTTTATGATGGTACATGCACACAATTAATACTTAAGAGAAATAGAGAAATACAGTCGCCAAGTTAATGTCCATTCAAATAATGGACTCAACTCCCTCCCTCTCTCACACTACACTCGCTGGCTCTTCCCTCTCAGAGAAATTTTTGGGGGAAAACCACTAAATTTTAATAAATAATACCTCAAACTAAAGTTAGGATAATACAATTGACATTGCTGGATTCCTTGTAAGACCAGGAATATTTTGAATATAAATGTCATATATTTTGCACAAAAGATAACATAGTTACCTAGAGAAAAATTTGTTATCTAAAATTTGTATGTTTAATGAAAAATATATGATGTTTATATTCAAAATGATCACCAAATTATAAGAATTCCAGCAATGTAAATTATATTCTGACCGGGTAATTTGTATGAATTTTATGAGCTAAAACAAATATCTTCAGTTAATAAAAAAAAAAATTAATCTTCACAACACTATCTGTCAATCAAAGTACCCCACCTTGCCTCCCCCCCTCTTCCAACCGCGCGGTCAGTCCCAACCCTCCCCCCCACCCCCCACCAATCCTCCCTTCCAGGGTTTTTAACATTTAGTATTAAATAATACCTCAGATTAAAGTTAGGATAATATAATTGACATTGCTGGATTCCTTGTAAGACCAGGAATATTTTGAATATAAATGTCATATATTTTGCACAAAAGATAACATAGTTAATTTGAGAAATATTTTTATCTAAAATTTGTATGTCTAATGCAAAAATATGATGTTTATATTCAAAATGATCATCAAATTATAAGAATTCCAGTAATGTAAATTATATTCAGACCGTATAATTTGTATGAATTTTATGAGCTAAAACAAATATCTTCAGTTAATAAAAAAAATAATTCTTCACAGGGTAACAGATGGTCGGTCGGTCCCTCCCTCCCACCCACCCCCCACCAACCGTCCCAAGGAGATGTGTGGGATAACCACTAAATTTTAATAAATAATACCTCAAACTAAAGTTAGGATAATATAATTGACATTGCTGGATTCCTTGTAAGACCAGGAATATTTTGAATATAAATGTCATATATTTTGCACAAAAGATAACATAGTTAATTTGAGAAAATTTTTTATCTAAAATTTGTATGTCTAATGCAAAAATATGATGTTTATATTCAAAATGATCACCAAATTATAAGAATTCCAGCAATGTAAATTATATTCTGGCCGGGTAATTTGTATGAATTTTATGAGCTAAAACAGGCAGTCAGGCAGGGTGGGGCAAATCTAAAAATAGCGTCTCGAGCCGGACACTCACCGCGTATATGTGGAAAAAATCCGTGTTAAGTGAAAGTTCAGCTCTGGCGAGGCACCGCGTATATGATAAAACGCGTTAAGTGAAACCGCGTTAGGCGGGGTAATACTGTATTTACTCCACTGGAAACGAATATAAACATAAAACCGATTACTGTATTGGCAGACTAGCCCATCAGCTGATGCTCACAACAAAACGTGTTTGTCGTAAGGATTTCGTTAATCAAAATTTTGTTTGTTAACCGAATTGAAGATCCTTGTGGGAGCTAATTCATTAACTGAAATTTCGTTAATCGAATCGTTTGTAAACCGAAGGACCACTGTATTCTGTTGTGCATATAGCATACAGACGCTGAATGACTGAAAATTTGTTTAAAGTTCACGCCAATTTTGTTTTATATTGAAAATTATTGAGATGTTGATTACCCAACTGCTGTGATGATGGTAATTATCCTACTGTTGTTTCCTTAATTAACCTATTGTTGTTTACATACTGGATAATTAATCTACTGTTGTTTTTGCATAATTAACTACTATTGTTTACATTATTTACCTACAGTTGTTTACATAATTAACCTACTGTTGTTTACTTCATTGTTGTTTACATACCGGGTAATTAATCTACTGGTGTTTACATAATTAACCTACTGTTGTTTACATTATTAACCTACTGTTGTTTACATAATTAACCTACTGTTGTTTACATAATTAACCTACTGTTGTTTACATTATTAACCTACTGTTGTTTACATAATTAACCTACTGTTGTTTATATAATTAACCTACTGTTGTTTTCATAATTCACCTACTCTTGTTTTCATAATTAACCTACTGTTGTTTACAATATTAGTCTTCTGTTGTTTACATAATTAACTTTCTGTTGTTTACGTAATTACTCTACTGTTGTTTACATAATTAACCTTCTTTTTTTTCAGGTTACTCATGTTATAACTTCTCATGAGCTGCTGCCAAAGTTTAAGACCATCCTCAGTAAATGCCCAAACGTGACCCATATTACATATTTTTGTGACCAGCTCAAACCCACCCATGTCACAGGGTACAAGGAAGGTGTAGTCTTCAATTCCTTCGAACAAATCGTTGCCAAGGGAACATCAAGTGGTTTTACAGGTTTGTTTGTTGAGTTGATGCTTGTATAATTGTATAGTACCTAAGACTGTGTTTGTTGAGATGATGCTTGTATAATTGTATAGTACCTAAGACTGTGTTTGTTGAGTTGATGCTTGTATAGTTGTATAGTACCTAAGACTGTGTTTGTTGAGATGATGCTTGTATTGTTGTATAGTACCTAAGACTGTGTTTGTTGAGTTGATGCTTGTATAGTTGTATAGTACCTAAGACTGTGTTTGTTGAGATGATGCTTGTATAGTTGTATAGTACTTGTATTGTTGTATAGTACCTAAGACTGTGTTTGTTGAGATGATGCTTGTATAGTTGTATAGTACCTAAGACTGTGTTTGTTGAGATGATGCTTGTATAGTTGTATAGTACCTAAGACTGTGTTTGTTGAGTTGATGCTTGTATTGTTGTATAGTACCTAAGACTGTGTTTGTTGAGATGATGCTTGTATAGTTGTATAGTACCTAAGACTGTGTTTGTTGAGTTGATGCTTGTATTGTTGTATAGTACCTAAGACTGTGTTTGTTGAGATGATGCTTGTATTGTTGTATAGTACCTAAGACTGTGTTTGTTGAGTTGATGCTTGTATAGTTGTATAGTACCTAAGACTGTGTTTGTTGAGATGATGCTTGTATAGTTGTATAGTACCTAAGACTGTGTTTGTTGAGATGATGCTTGTATTGTTGTATAGTACCTAAGACTGTGTTTGTTGAGATGATGCTTGTATAGTTGTATAGTACCTAAGACTGTGTTTGTTGAGATGATGCTTGTATAGTTGTATAGTACCTAAGACTGTGTTTGTTGAGTTGATGCTTGTATAGTTGTATAGTACCTAAGACTGAGTTTGTTGAGTTGATGCTTGTATTGTTGTATAGTACCTAAGACTGTGTTTGTTGAGTTGATGCTTGTATAGTTGTATAGTACCTAAGACTGTGTTTGTTGAGATGATGCTTGTATAGTTGTATAGTACCTAAGACTGTGTTTGTTGAGATGATGCTTGTATTGTTGTATAGTACCTAAGACTGTGTTTGTTGAGATGATGCTTGTATAGTTGTATAGTACCTAAGACTGTGTTTGTTGAGATGATGCTTGTATTGTTGTATAGTACCTAAGACTGTGTTTGTTGAGTTGATGCTTGTATAGTTGTATAGTACCTAAGACTGTGTTTGTTGAGATGATGCTTGTATTGTTGTATAGTACCTAAGACTGTGTTTGTTGAGTTGATGCTTGTATAGTTGTATAGTACCTAAGACTGAGTTTGTTGAGATGATGCTTGTATAGTTGTATAGTACCTAAGACTGTGTTTGTTGAGTTGATGCTTGTATAGTTGTATAGTACCTAAGACTGTGTTTGTTGAGATGATGCTTGTATTGTTGTATAGTACCTAAGACTGTGTTTGTTGAGATGATGCTTGTATTGTTGTATAGTACCTAAGACTGTGTTTGTTGAGTTGATGCTTGTATAGTTGTATAGTACCTAAGACTGTGTTTGTTGAGATGATGCTTGTATTGTTGTATAGTACCTAAGACTGTGTTTGTTGAGTTGATGCTTGTATAGTTGTATAGTACCTAAGACTGTGTTTGTTGAGATGATGCTTGTATAGTTGTATAGTACCTAAGACTGTGTTTGTTGAGATGATGCTTGTATTGTTGTATAGTACCTAAGACTGTGTTTGTTGAGTTGATGCTTGTATTGTTGTATAGTACCTAAGACTGTGTTTGTTGAGTTGATGCTTGTATAGTTGTATAGTACCTAAGACTGTGTTTGTTGAGATGATGCTTGTATTGTTGTATAGTACCTAAGACTGTGTTTGTTGAGTTGATGCTTGTATAGTTGTATAGTACCTAAGACTGTGTTTGTTGAGATGATGCTTGTATAGTTGTATAGTACCTAAGACTGTGTTTGTTGAGATGATGCTTGTATTGTTGTATAGTACCTAAGACTGAGTTTGTTGAGATGATGCTTGTATTGTTGTATAGTACCTAAGACTGTGTTTGTTGAGTTGATGCTTGTATAGTTGTATAGTACCTAAGACTGAGTTTGTTGAGTTGATGCTTGTATATTTGTCTAGTACGGGTAAACCTCAAGAAACGATGGGGTTAGGTTCCTGAAAACTCATCTCTAAGTGAAATATCGTTGATCGAGATGATTGTAATATGGGGTTCGACGGAATACTTTCCCAGCCTGTCCCCAAACACACATGTATCACCAACAAAAAAATTCCTTCAATTATAAAATCAATAGAAAACAATTAAACAACACTCATCACATCATGAAGAACGAGCCTGGTCATCATCACACTTCCGTTTCAAGACTAAGGGGACTCTTGTAGGTGGAGTAGAGACATCACTCTGACTCCCACACAACCTCTGGGGAGTCCAGAGAGGCTGGAGACAGAGTCAGAGTCCTAAAAGGGGCTTCTACTTTGGGGACTGCAGGTGTAGGCTTTGGCCTGGCTTTAAAGAGAGTGAAGCTCCTGGGTGTGCTTGGAGAGGTGTCAGAAGTTAAGGGTTGTGGCTCTGACTGTAGCAGGAGTTTGAAAAAGGAGGTGATTGTTGTCTGGTGCACTTTCTTCTTCCTTTTAAGGTACAGCTCCTTGTAGCAGAGAATGCCCTTCACCACCAGTGCCCTCACGGATGAACTCCTGTTGAGGTTGGGATCATTTTCAGCAAGGACCTCCATTGCTGAGTCCACATGGTCAAGTGTAGTGCTCAGCATCTTCACAGTCAGCGTCATGGATGCATGGTTGTCTTCCTCACCTGTTGACTCCTCCACTCTCTGTTGCTGTTCTAGGAGCAGCAGGTCCTTTGTGCTGAGCTCCTCAGAATGGCTCTCCAAGACCTCAGCCACATTCCCTTTGTTGAACTCCTGAAAACTTGCTTCCTGGGAGATGCTGGCAATGCAGCAGTGTATGGCTATAACATCTGGAAACCGCTATAGTCGTGCACGCACTCAGACCACACTTTCTTCCACACTGCATTCATGCAGGTTTATGTGACCTCCTTCCATGACTTGTCAGTGTTGTGTATGGCGTGCTTGATGTTGTAGTTACGCCAGAATTCAATGAGGGTTGGCTTTACCTCTCCATCTGTCGCCTCTAACAGCTGCTTCATCAACCTCCTCAAGTAGTAGGCCTTGACAGTGGCGATGACTCCCTAATCCATCTGCGGGATGAGTGAGGTGGGTACGAAGGCTCATTGTTGAGGATCAGGAGAGACTTGTTTGTAATGTTCTGCTTCTCGGCATACTCCTTGAGGTGCTTGGAGAGGTAGCCAACCATGTAACTCTGGTACAACATCATTGTTACCCAGGCCTTCTTGTTGGAGCGGCAGATGACTGGGAGGTGCTCCTTAATAAACCCCTTAAGAGCTCAAGGGTTCTCAGAATGGTACACCAGCTTCGGAGTCAACTTAAGGTTCTCCTCAGCATTGCCTCCAAGCAGCAACGTTAGATGGTCCTTGGTCGCCTTGAAGCCTGCTGCAGTTTTCTCCTTAGGCTAGGAAAGTCCTTGATGGCTTCTTTTTCCAAAAGAGGCCCGTCTCGTCGAAGTTCAGGACCTGCTTGGCGGTGTATCCTCCTTCCTCCACTTGAGCCTTCAAGAGTGCCAGGAAGGCGTTAGCACTCATGACCTCAGCACATGCTGCCTCACCAGTCAGACGAAGGTTGTGCAGATTGGCGTGCCTTTTGAGCCACTGAAACAACCCAGGACTTGCCTTGAAAGGGACATCACTTGCACTGCTCTCACTGCTCTCTGCCTTCAGCATCACCCAAATGTTGCTGGCCTTCGCCATGATGATCACTGTGGAGAGAGGCAAGTGGCATCGAGTCTGGTCCTGAATCCGTTTTTGGAGTAGCCTCTCCATCCTATCCATGATAGGTTCATGCTTCCATCCTAATCTCAAAGCGGAAAATGGGGTGACGTTCTGTGCCCCAGCTTTCACATCCAGTGCTTTTTTGATGATGGTAGACACTGTTAACTGGACAAGGCCAAACGCTCTAGCAATAGAGCACGCTCCTTCACCCATTTCCTGCCACTTCACTATGTCAAGCTTCACCCCTAAAGAGACAGTTTTCCTGGGTGCCTTGGCCTTCCCTGATGCAGGAGCCTCCGCAACACACTTGCTAGCCATTTTCAGCAGTAGAGGTTACGTACAGTACACACATCTTACTTCACAGTCACAAAAACAAAGCAAAAGCACTTATCAGGTACAGCTGCTCCTCGACTTACGACGGGGTTAGGGACCCAAATCCAGGTCATAAGTCGAAAATGCAAAGATAATACAGTTCATAGAAAATCTAAAATGGGTGTCTCTTTTTCTTCTCAGGACCACAAAACTCTCACTTTTAAGCATGCCAGCCATTTTAAAGGGAACTACAAACAAAAATTTTGTCAGTACACAGTGCAATCACTAACGTCGGGACTTGAAAATACGTAATTTGAAAAACTTTTGGTACGACTGGGGCGGTCGTATGTCCGGGTGGTCGTAAGTCGAGGAGTAGCTGTACTATTAACCTATATGTCTCACTTCACAGTCACTAAAACAAAGCAAAAATACAGTACAGTAATATCTCTGTAAGGTGGAATCCCTCAAACCCGGAACTCTCCGTTCACCGGAATTGAAATTTTCTCAGAAAATGGTTTCAAAGCCGGAATTTTCTGGAAAATTCCAGCTTTGGGAACGATTTAACGAGGGGCACATTTTCCGGAAAATTCAGAGAAAATTTTCCCGGTACCCGGAAAATTTCGGCAAAATCTGGAGATGAGGGATATTTTTTACAGGTTGAAGAGATGATGTAAAGGGCAATTTCTGGAACTTCCGAGATAATTTTTCCATTACCCAGAAAATTCTGGGGATAAGGGATTTTTTCCGGCTTTGAGAGAGTCGTCTCGTTACCCGGAAATCTCTCATTCCCAGAAGTGTTTTGATCTAGTTGTTCCGGCTAATGGAGATATCATTATTTCACTACAGGGAGTTCTCACTTTACGTCGG